ATGTGCTATGGTGAACACTGTGAATTGTGTAAGACTGCTGAATCACAGACCTGTACCTCTGAAACAAATAATACATTGTATGTTAAAAAAAAAAAAAGATAGTAGGAAGGGATCGGGGGGAAATCAGAGGGGGAGACGAACCATGACAGACTATGGACTCTGAGAAACAAACTCAGTGTTCTAGAGGGGAGGGGGATGGGGGGATGGCTAAGCCTGGTGATGGGTATTAAAGAGGGTACGTATTGAATGGAGCACTGGGTGTTATACGCAAACAATGAAACATGGAACACTACATCAAAAACTAATGATGTTATGTATGGCGATTAACATAATAATAATAAAAAAGAGAGGTGCTGGGGAAAAGAAAAAAAACAGAGTCTACCAAAACACTGAGCTATAATAAGAAGTCATTTCCTTTACTGAGGACATGTATCAAGGAGAGGGTAAAGCTAACTTTTTAAATGGTTCAGCAGCTCTTCTCTTCCTGAAGTTTCACTTGGGAAACTAAATATTCTCAAAATTTTACAGATACGCCCACGTAAAAGAAAATGGCAGGCATTCCTAAGTAATACAAAACTTGCCCACCCATCAAATAAACTTGAAACACCGTTTTGCTCATTAAATAATCCCCAATGGGTTGAGAATAACTGGGGTCCTCAAACCCCTTGCTTTTTTGCATAAAAAGAAAACGACTCAAATCAATGATAAAATATTAACATAAAAAATTCTCAAGCAATCTGTTTCTTTGGGTTCCTGTTCAGTATATGCACTGCCCCCCCCTTCCCATTTACCTACTCTAATCTTCAAGGTCCAGCTCAAATCCAGCCAACCTCACTCTTCCAACTCCAAGCTCTCACATGGCCAGAAAACCAAAAGCTCCATAAGGGAAAGAAAAGATCTATTCTTAACTATTTTTGTATCTTTGGAATTAAAAACAACCATTTTGGTACTAACAGTTTCTAGAAACTGTTTTCTGGCTATACTTATCACATGACAAGAATATTTAACTCTTCCCATGGAAAAAAATGAGAAAAAAAACCCCCACAAACACCTAACATTTTACCTCCTCTTCACTTTCTTTATCTTCATCATCCGAAGACTCTTCCTTGTTTTTCTTTTCGTCTTCATCACTGCTAGATTCATCTGACAGAATTTCAGGACATTTGGTTCGCTTAGCTTTCCTTGCCATTCCAGAACTGTTGCGTTCCTTTTTGTTGCCTTTGCTAGAACTTTTTTTAGATTTTGGCAATGGCTGTGTACAATAAAATAAAGATAACACCAATGGGCTATTGTATTTCCAAGTCAATCATTTTTGATAACTTATCAACTCATTCTTGTTCCTGTCTCAAGAAGTATTTCCAAACTTAGCAGTTTTACAGAGAACAATTCACCTTTAAAGTGTCAAGTTGATCTTTTTGTCCACACTATCAATACCCTTTCATCTGTGTTCTAACACCCAGGTAAGACTCTTCACAAATGCTGAAATAAATACTGTGTTCTGACATGGGATTAGAAGCCCAAGTACACACTGCATTAAGCTCAGTTATTTACACTTTATCCAGGCAATATTTTGAGTTAGACTTGTAATTTATTTCATTCCTATTAGCATTAAAACCGTCAATGCCAGAGGAGCTTCTTGCTTTAGGGGAACCTCCAATCAAAAGACCGGAGCCATCTGTAAAGGAAACAAAACCTCACTTTACACATCCTGAATTTATGATCTATATAGTTTATATTCATATTACCTCTGGGCTCTACTTTCAGTAATGCCAGGATTATATTCTCACTGATGATTCTAAATATGCAATTAGTGTTGGGTATGTTAATTATGAAGCTGATTAAGAACCACAAAATATATGTATTGCTTTTTGCTCTGATATTTAATTAAACCACGCACATTTAAAAAGCAGAGATCACGCAAGGAAACAATTTGATTATCCAACAAATTTAATTCTTAAATGCTTTCTTAGGGGAGTATTTGCTAACTTTTGAAATTGAAAACCATAAAATAACCTTGCATAAAAGATCTGAAAAGATATACCTCGAGGAATTGAAATTTCCAAAATTATAGGTATCTTTTGTTTTTATTTTTGCCTATATTATTTTCTACAATAAGCAGAAATAGTAAGGAAAATTCCATAACATAACCTTATGATATACAATTGTATAAATGTTAGGATAACTTTAGGCAAAATCTTTCATAAAGCTAGGAGAACCACAGATTCTTTCTCTCCTAGAAACTGCCAGTCTTAAAGGTCACCATCACCTGCACAAAAATTAAGAAAAGGTGGCTGTTTTGTGTATGTAGTGTTCTCAGGCTATGTACAATCCACAAGATAGCCTCTAGCTGCCCCCAAAAATCTATCCTTCCTACAGGCAGACTGGGCAGCAGCCAATGTAGGTCACTTCAGGAATTTTAAGTTAGTGGATGAATGATATTTCTCAGAGGGGTTCTCTGTAAGTTTCCATAAAAAACTTTCTTGAAAATATACAGATATCCTTGTTATGAGACCTGTTACTATTACCAACTAGTACCAGGAACTAAATCCATTTGGATAAATTCTTTGATCTCACTGGAGAAAAGGTGACTCTCACTGTCCAAACTCTCCCTATTCATTATATGAAATCCAGGACTCAAATATATTAGAAAAATGTGGTATCCCTTACTATCTCAGTTCAGGAACCAGATACAGGTAGTAAGAATATAATCTGTATATGGAATCAGTAGTAAGATGATGGGTGCAGGATAATCTTATACAGGAAGTGGAAGAACATTAAATTATTCAAGTAATCAATCAAGAAAATTCAACTTCCAAAAATAAAAGAGCTTAAAAAAAAAAAGTAACAATACATGAATGTTTTAGAGCTTTCCTATATTGGTTCTAAAAATAGTTGAATCTATTAACCAGAATCCAGAGTCAACAGCATCATCCCTTTTAGAACAAAATCTGAAAAACAGATAATCAAGGCAGAAGCACAAAATGAGGATAGTAAAACAATGTTAATTCAATAATTTTATTATTATGGAGAAAGAAATCAGTACTAATGAGTCTATAGTGTTTTCCTTAAATGACAGAAAGGTATGGTAGTGTAGAAAATAACTTGAGATTGGTATCATTAGGTTAAAGAGTAGTTCTCACAGAATCAGACACGGAGAGTGGATGTTAAGAGTTGGATTCCGTAAGGCTAAGAGTGGTTCTCAGAATATGGTTCATGCACCTGGGGCTTCCTGAGGCCTTTTCAGAAGCCCACAAGGTCAAAACTATTTTCTATAATACAGTAATAATAATATAATATCAAGACATTATTAATTTTCTCTTTTCACTGTTGGTATCTGTAGTGACTCTGCAAAAGCAAGGTGGCTGTAAAATTGCTGGCACCTCAGTACTAACGACGGCGGAGGCAGCCAACTGTGCTAGCAGTCACTATATTCCTCACAGCCCCAAACTAGAAAGAAAGAAAAAAAAGGTGTTTCCTTTAAGAATGCCTTTGACGAAGCAGTAAATATTGTATTAGCTCTCAACCTGTGAGTACGTCTTTACGCAGTCTGTAACAAAACGGGAGGTACACATAGAATATGCTTGCTACTTACTGAACTTCACTGGTTTTCTCAAGAAAAAGCACTTGCACAACTGAGCTGTGAGCTAAGCTAGCTACCTCTCCCATGAAACACCGTTTGTAAAAGAACTGTAAAAGTCTGCCTATTCAGATTCAGGTATTTAAAAGACATGTGTTCAGGGACGCCTGGGTGGCTCAGTCGGTTAAGCGTCTGCCTTCA